AACAAGAAGGACTAGTGAGTGTTGGAGATAGTACTTTGGATCGCTGATACCGCCGTACTTTGGGCTACATTAGCCGTTTACTTTTTTCATGATAGTTGCCATTGGAACCGCAGGATTTGGCAGCCTGAATTTAAAAGTACGGTTGTGGTTAAAGCGTTCTTGTGTTAGCATTAGTATTTATGTTTTTTTTTTTTTTCTTTTTATGTGTCTGTGTATATGTGCTAATGTTATTATTCCTCTTTTTCGGTCAAGTAGCACTATACTGCCAAAGATCTTCCCCTAGGGATTATCTAGATTTATCATTGTAAGAGGATATTTCATTTTGTTTCTTTTTTTTTTGTTTTTCTTCCCTCTTGATTTCGTGTACAATTTTAAGCTTATTACTGGTTTTCCTTCTTTTATTTCTTTTTCTTTGTTTCTTTTTTTCATTGTTAGGTGTATTTTATTGGGTTTGTCATTATAAAGTAATCGTGCAGGTGAAAATGCAAGTCGCATCTGAGAGAGAGTCGTTGAATGTTCCTCTTCGCTCTGCTACGGCGACAACAACAGTGTCTTTGTTGTCTAGCGAGGCGCATGTAAATAATAATGATGCCTTGTTACTGCAGTCAACGACGTATGAGCCAAAGTATATACAGCCTGCACCACTGCTAAAGGGATCTATGTATATACAGAACCCAAGCGAACTGTCCCGAAAAAATGACGATGTGGAAATAAATAAACTAACCCTTCCTCAACTTTACAGCAATGTCTATCTTGACTATATGCATAAAAAACAACGTCGTTTGGAACTTGAATTACCAGTTCTTCCAGGCCTTCCGGATTTTGACGGTGATACCCCAACCGATCCTGAAAGCGTGATGCAGTACGTTAAGGGACTCTCAGCTGTCTACATGAGCGAACCGAGCGATCCTTCACCTTTTCAACTTTACGAGTCTCTTATATCTGATTTCATGGAAAATACTCCTCTTACTACAACTCCATTTGGTCTTGAAAATAAGGAGAATTCTTTGAATGGAGATTATTCACCTTCCTTAAATTCTATTGATGCGAATATGCAAGGAGTGGCTTCAATCCCACGATTTCAATCTTTTACTCCTGCAACAGAGGTTGTCGCTTTAACTCTTTCTATGTGGCTTTCAAATATTAAACAGTTAAAAGATGTCGCTGTTGCCATGGAAAAGATTCAACAATTTCCAACTGCTACCCGAGCGTTGACTTCATCTGTTGTGAAATGCGCACTTGAAACCTGTCGTGATTTGGTTAAGGGAGATGAATGCTCACAGGGACGTAAGAGTGAAGTCTGTAGTTTAGTTGGACTTGTTGTTCTTCCCAGAAGTGAAATTCATGAAATATTGGAGTACGTTGGTGTATTAGAGGAATACAGTTCTAGTAGTACCTCTAGCATCGTACCTTGTGTTTTACCCCAACATGAGGAATTATTACGGAGTTTCACCTTAATTTCACCCAGACAGTGTGTGATGTCATCTCCTGTAGATGCCCACCATGGTGATATGACCAGACTTCCCCTCATGTTGTCTGAAGGAACGAGTGTTAGTTGTTTTTGTGTTTCCCCATGTGGTCGTTATTTGGCAGTGGCAACTGTTTCAGGAATGTTAATGTTTGAGGCGAGTAGTGGAAAACTACTAAATCAGTCTTCAGACGCTGATCTTGCTCGTTCCTTGTGGATTATTCAGTTTTCCTCAGACTCTTCTAGTCTAATTTTGACGACAAAGTCAGGATTACGTCATGTGGTGTTAAGTACGACCCTGGAATACCTCAGTGAACAGCACACGGATTATCCGGCCATTCCAACTCGGATTACAGGAGAAGTCATTGACTTTCTTTACTCTCCACGATTACCGAGTGGACGTAAAAGTTCTTTGTTTCTCGCATCATCTGGAAAAATGATATTGGAAAAACTTGGTTCTGCTGCAGAAAAATCTGTTGAATCTTTCGTTGTTTGTACTCATATTCATGATGATTTTGTGGGAAATATTGCCGTTCTGGAAACTTTGGAGGATTCTTTTACTATTCGTCTAGAGGGAGGAATTATTACACTTTCACAAGGAGCTTATAGTTGTTTTGGCATGCTTTCCAATAATACCCCTTGGCACTTTGTTTACTGTAAGTGGAGCAGAGGTACGTGGACGCTGGGAGTTGATAATGATCTTGTGGAATTAAGAGGTGCCCGTACGACTCAATCTAAAACAGCCAAATTCACTGGATCAACGTTATTAGATGGTACGGGTCATGTGGCTTCACTTGTGGCCTGGTGTGGAGATGCGCATGATGGACGATCAATCAGACGATTTTCAGTTGAACGGGTGTTGGAGGCCTCAACAAAACCATTTTTTTACCTTCCCTTAGATGAGGGTGAGGGATTGTGGGTGAAGGAATTGGCCACCATGCGGGCACTTACTATACCAGAACAGCATTTTGTTTGGGATGATACTACATGTTGTCCTTTTACATCAACAGAGGTAATAGATCACAGTGTTCGTCTTCCACAACAAATATTATTATCTGCTGAAATCTTAATAAGCGATTATCAAGTTTTAATAACATTTCCATCTACTCATAAAGGTGGTGATGGGATAGTTGCGGTTGTTCAACAAGGAGGGAAATCTATTAACCGGGTATACCGTTGTCCTGGAAGTTATTCACAAACACTTTATTCTCTCTCACGTGATGAATCATTACTTTACGCTTTTCAACAACGATTTTCTACCTTTTCGGTGACTGAAATTTCTACAGCGGCGAAGAGAGAACAGAGATTGAAAGAAAGTGGTATTCTTCTTAAAGATACGGTAGAAGGAACACCAGAATGGATATCTAATGAAATTCTTAAACGTATCTACGTTGATGGACTTGATCTTCTTCGAATTCCTCCAGAAATGAGTCCACTTAGTATTGAAAATCTTCTTCATTTATCTACTATATTACGTACAGTTCGTCAAAATACGAGTCCTCTCAAACTTGTTGCAGTGATGTCCTTGGCTATGGTACATTTTGAACGTCTTGCTTCAGAAGATAGTAATTCCCTTTCAAATGTTGCTGCATCCCTTAATCACTCTTGTAAACAGATCATAGAGTGGTTTCCGGAAAGTTTTGTTCGTGATGTTGCAGAGTCTCTCGTTCGAGCAGGAGCTAGTCAATCACTTACATTACATGATAAGGTAAATATTCTTATGGATGCTGATAATCCTAAAACGACAGATATACTGGATAGTTGTATGAGTAAGGAATCTCTATATAGTATTCTATCCTTTATAATAAATGATAACCCATCTAAAGTACTATCTATTGCAAGTGGTTTACTAAAACGTTGTAAACAAGAAGAAGAAGGTATATCTTCTGGAAGAGTAATAGTTCATCTTATGTTATGGTTTTCATTATTTTCAGTTCAGTTTCTATACAAACGTGGGGATAACGCTATTATTTCAAGTCTATTAGATCTTTATCTTCAACATGCGAAACAACTTTTACTTAAGCGTTCATGGGATGATAGTATGCAGCAAACTGTAGTTCATACAGGACTTTTACCTTTACTTATAGCTATTGCTGAATTATGCCCTGATACGGTAACACCAAATATTGAAGCTACATTACTTTCATTACTTGATACAACTCCAAAAGAAAGTATAGGTAATCCCTTTTCTGTGGTATTTGAAACGAAACAGGCATGTGATGTCGTACCTGGTTCAGATGATGGTCCATTTAAATTATTGTTAGATTACAAAAGAGCCACATCTGTAGCTATTACAAAGGAAGTTTCCTCTTCAGAGGTGACAGTTATCACATCTGATTCTTCATCTATAAAACCTACAAAGTTAATATTAAATAATGAAGTACCTTTTGTAAAGGTAAATGGATCCACTTTAATTCTATTTGGTACCGGAGAAAATTCGTTTACTATTGTCTGTAGTTATGATCTTTCTGTTGGTACACCATGGAGTTCAATTTTGCGTGATGGTGTATGTAATCTACTCTTATCTGTGGCAAATCATTTAACTGAAAAACCAAAACCATGTGATGTTTTTCTAGCCCCACTACTTCGACATGGACTTGATACGAGAACTCTTGCATCGCATGGATTAGACGTTCCTGGGAGAGTAAATGAATCAAGATTTGCTGTTGATATTCTTAATGACGTTGGAGATGGAAAAAGGTTTGTTGATGATGTTTGGAAAAATATGCGAGGAAGTGTAACACCTTCTATGCGACCATCCTTTCGTGCACTTTTGTCTCTCCTCATTCATAGTGGTTTAACTCCACAACAGGCCGAAGATGAATTAAAACTTCGATGGTTCAGTGGAGAGTGGGGAAGTCGACTACAAGGTGTTGGAAAAGACTCTGCTCGTCAGTTATTGGTGGATCTTGCCAAATGGATTGCCTCTTCTGTTTTCTATCAGCGGGATAATACGCCGCTGTACGCACGGCGGGCCTCCACTGGGCGGAGGTCTACAGTGGAGAGTCCAATGGCCGCCTCACGGTCGGTGTCGGACCCGCGACTCTCCACAAACTCAAGGAGAAGTACCGTGAGAGGTGTCATGCAGAATCAAGACACGTTAGATCAGGTGCGGGCGTTATTTACAAAAGGTATTACACCTGGAATGTTGGAAAGTATATTGGTGGAACGAACCTCTGCAGCGCTTAGTACTATTCGTGGTCTACAATTACTTTCTTCACTCTTGACAAGACTACAAAAGAATGAAGCGAAAACGCTACAAGAAATTCTTCATGTACTTTGGTTGTTTTGTGGAGAAGGAAGTGGAAAACATATGATTGAAAGTCTTGTGGGATCCGGTGTGGATTTAGAGATGCGTGTTCGTGTTTCATTCCATACGGTTTTGGAAGAATGTGAATCTCTTTTAATGAGTAAATGTGGAAAGGAAGTATCTCCTCAAGCTATATTGACATACCCTGCACATAATGGATCATCTACAATTATGCTTCTAGCTATTATGTGTCATCCATGGGATGCGGTGGATTGTGATATTTTTAAAAGTACTCGTAGTGAAGATGATATGGCGAGTATTCTTGCTTATCTGGAAGATCAAACAAATATACCAGCGTATAATTTACCATTAACAAGTCCCTGGCGTCTTCGGCGTGATCAAAGCAGTTCAACAAGTATGTCTAATGAACGAAATGCTTGGAATGAATTAATTGGTGTGGCTGAACATACTTCTATTAATTGTATTCTTCCAAGTAGCTTTTCTGTTACTATTCCAAATTTACAGTTATCAGAATTAGATGAAGGTATTGCATTTGAAAAGACGATATCAGGTCCTTTAATTCTTCGTGCAGATGAGGCATGGCCAATGCCTCCTCTCATGACATGTTTCAGTGGTGTTCCTCGTGTATTTTATTATGAAGTGACGTTAACATCTCCATGTTATCGTTTTGCGATTTGTTTGGCTCAATGCCGAAATGCTTCTGATCGTGGAATTGATGTGGTTTACTTTTATGAAAATTCCGGAACAACACACGATGTTTTGTGTCCCCCTTTTGATGAAGGGGATACGGTTGGTTGTGGTGTTGTCGCTACAACAAGACGTTTGTTTTTTACATTAAATGGTGTCTTTATTTCTTTTATGGGCACTATACATGAAAAAACAGAGTCATTATTTCCAACCATTCGTATTAATAATAAAGATCGTGCAAGTTTTACTGTTAACTTTGGAAAAAATGCATTTTTCTATGATTTTCGAAGACTTCATCCAGCATTATGTATTACGAATGGTCCAACATGGTATGCTGTTACTTCTACTGCAGAGATTACATTACATTACATTACAGCTCGTGCCTGTTCTATGCAAGAATCTTGTAAATCTTCAGCAAAGTTATTTCTTATTAAATGTTGTGAAGTGGTTTGCCGTAATGTGAATAAAGTAACCTCCTCTATTATGAATGTTGGAGTAGGAAAGACAGATACTCCTGAAAGTCGAATTCAGCAAGCAGTAGTACTTTCAGTTGCAGAGTCTTCTATTTTAAATTTTATTGCTACTTTACGTCATATTATGAGGATAGCCAATTGTTATCCTCTTCCTGAAGTGATTGGAGAAATGGTATTTGATGCCGTTACGGTACTTATGATGTTACCAGTACATTCTATTCAAATGTCTACTATAAGTTTTCTCCCAGAACTTCTACCTCATATTCAACGTGTACGGGACTCTAGTGCCTCTGCCAATCTTGTGAAGACTCTCTTTGAACACGCAAAGGTGCCAATGGATACACGGGCTCGAATTCCTTTTCTCCCGTGTTGGCGGCAGTGTGATCCGCGATGTATGTCGATTACACACATGCACGTGGCCTCTATGCAGCCAGAGGCGCAGCGGAGTATTGTTCTCGGTAATGTGCTTCCACGAACAGGTAAGGTATCATTTGTGGTACGTGTATTTCGTAAAGGCATGTCAAAAGGTCATTCCTTAAAAGGTGGTTATTACATTGGAATATCCGTTATTAATCTCGCTCCCCTTTCACCTGCAAGTAATTCACAAAGTTGGAAAGCTGTTAAACCACCTATTGTATGGGCTCTTCATGATGTTTCTCCTCAATTACCACATGCAACAAATCCAACGGTTAAACCAAATAATTTTCATCGAACTTTTGGAAGTGGTGATGCTGTTCGTGTTTCTATTGACTGTGATAAGCAAACGGTAAGTTTTTATCGAGATGAAGAATTTCTAAAAACACTATTTACAGATATTCCATTAAATGTCGATTTGGTTCCATTTGTACAACTCTATAATGATGATGCTTCCGTTTCTATTAGTACTGGAGAAATGACAGCACCGATTTCATCCGCCACTCTTCTGGGTGCTGCTTCTGTTGATGTATTAAGATGCATGTTAACATTAGAACCCTTTGAACGACTTGTAGCCGATGGACTTTGTGAAGAACTTGATAGTTCGGCTTTCCCTAATGTAACCTTAACTTTATTTAAAAGTATTCCAGATCCACGTATATTACAACTATGTTGTCGTACAAGTGAAAAAATATTGGTAGCCGTTCGTCGTTTAACACAATGGCGAGTAAAGTTTTCTGTTGGTAATATGGGATATTATGAACAAATTAATAATCTTCGTACAGCTTCCTTCTTGACTATGGATGGTTCATTTGATGTAAGTGATTCAACGGCATCACTCGTAGGAGTAGAACGTTGTATAGAAAGTTTAGTAAAAGCTCTTTGTCGTTTGGTTATTCCCCTCATTACTACTCAGGCATTATGTTTAATTGAGATTCAACAACGCAATCTCATTATTGAAGAAGAAAAAGATCAATGGGATTATTTATTTCATGGGGCTCGTGTAAATCAATATTTAAATATTCAGCGACTCTCACAGAGTGTTCCATTACTGGAGTCTCCACGTATTCCACACGATTATACCTTTTCTGCCGCCTTATCACATCCTGGATTTCACTTTTCTCCTCGTTTTTGTGGTCGTTTAGCCACTGTGCCAAGTGGGGTTGAAAACACTACCACACCGTTTATTGCCATTGCTGAACCCGCCGTTCCACTCACGGGACATTTCAGTCTGCGGTGTCAATTGATGCGTGGCCACACTGGACAGATCTTGGGAGGAGGATATTACTTTGGTTTGTGCACAACATCCTTTGATTGGAAGCGACGGGATCTTAATGTTGGCAATCCAGAAGTGTGGGCTATTCACGATATGGACGATGCCCCGTGGCGATTGCGGCACTTATATCCCGGTACGCGATTCCAGATTGCGGCGGATCCCGGTTGTATTATTGTGAGTGGGGATGTTGTGCGTATTGAGGTGGATCGTGATAAGGGCACTATGCATGCCTACCGCACAGGTATAAATCAAGAGGAAGTTTTATTGGGTCTTATTTTTGATAATGTACCAAAGGGAGTGGAATTATTTCCGTTTGTGCATTTATATAATACAGATGCTGTCGCCGTACTTTTACCATCAGATAGTGAACGACCAGCAATACGAACAACAGTTCCCCAACCACATTTTGCTCTTTGTGTTTCAAATGAAAAGAGAAATTGTGATGGTTGTGTCGCACCTCACCCGGATGTTCGTTTAACTTCTCAAATTTGGTACAAGTGTAATGAGTGTGTTGATTACAGCTTATGTAAATGGTGTTTTGCATTATGTCTTCACTCTCATCATTCTTTTACTGAAATGGGAGGAAATCCACTTGTACACGATAGTGCACCTCCTACAAAAGTAGTAGTGGGAATGAATGTTATGATTCCTGGAACTACTGGATTGTATCTAAAAAGTTGGGGATGTCGTGTACTTGAAAAGCATATGAATTGTATTGTAGAATCTAAGGAGAATAATGCTTTGGTGTTATGGGGTGTTGTATATAAAAAAACGGCTACCTTTACAGTGACAATAGATACACTTAATGGGGAACCACTTTACTTGGATACTCCAATGTTTATTGGTATTGGAGAGGCAGAGGAAATAGTATCCTTATCTGCAGATGTACTTCGAAATCGGTGTATATCAGGATCTTCTAATATTGTTTCTCTCTGTAGTGATTCATCCATGTGTCGTAAGTTAAACTATCCGAGTCGATCACCGTGTGGCTTTGAACGTGGTTCCACTATCTCTATTGAAGTTAATGTTGCGTTGGGAGTAGCAACAATTCGTCGAGATTGGTTAAAACTTGGTACACAGTCTTTTCCCGTATCTCCAGCATCTAAACCTGCCAATTTGGTTGGATTTGTTTTATTTGGTCGCAAAAACGTTACGGTTTCTATTTTCCCTGAAGAAAATCAAACCTTCTCTGCAGTTGTGGAGGATGTTCGCAATGGTCTTCTGCGTGTGGAGCATGAAGGACAGGTGCGATATCTCCGACCAGAACACTGCCGAGTCCCACTGGCGCCTTGTCAAGATGTCCCGAAGGTAAATGCACTGGGTTACATCTTCTGGAAGAAGGAACTCGCGCAGTGTAAAGTTGTTGGTGTGGAAAAGGATGAAGTGACGTTGTACTTTGCGGGAGAAAATCTAATCCAGCGCATACCATACTCACGGTTTCTAACAGATGCCTGGGGATCTATTGCAGAAGAAAGACTTCTTCATCGTGAGGTTGGTGAGGTTGGTGCCACCATAACAGATGGCTTTATTATATCTAGATTATTACTTATTTTATCTTGTTTATGTGAAAGTGAAAGCCTTTCACCTCTTGTATTATCACATTGTCCGGCGTTATTGAGTGTTCTTAGCCGATTGGCTGCGGTTGAAATAAGTAATGATGCCCCAACGGAATTTATTCAAGAAGTTCGTACAGCAGTGGCTATAACTTGTAATTGTCTTCGTGTAATGGCAAGAAATAAACATCTTCCAGGATATATTCCTTCATCTGTTATGGAGACTCATCGATATAAACCAATACCAAATATGCTTATGTGTGCTGTTGAAGGACCATGTAAAGGTAAAATATATAATGTTATTGAAGTAGATACCAATAACTCCTTTAAAGGTGTAGAAATCCACAGTACAACTTCATCCAATACAAAAGAACTTCTTAATGCAGCGGATTGTATACCGGTAAAACAATGTGATGGAAAACCATGGTGGACATTAGATAATGGATTACCATGTAGTTTACTTGAGCATACATTACGTGTTACACAATCCGGAGAGGGTTCTTTAAATGTAACTATGGAGGGTGAATGGCAGGGTGAGATAACAATACCAAGAAGAGGAAGTGGATCGATTTTACTTCAACTCAAAAAAGATTGTTCAGGATTGGCTAATGTTGTATTTTCTTCACAAACAACAGAGTGTGTTGTTTTTGGAGAATATATGCGGTATTGTAGAACTGTAAGGCTTTGTCTTTATCGTGCTACAGGATCCACAAAGTCTCATGGTTTTCACTTTGATGGTAAACAAAAGGATTCTTCCTTTGAGAGTGCTGTGTCAAAACTTGAGACGATATTATCAGAGAATGGAGAAAACAGTCTTATTATCGTTATGGATGGTGTTATGGATGGTGAGGGACAACGCGTTTTTGGAGAATGGAAGCCAAAGAATGATAGAGCAGGTACATTTGCGGTAAATTCATTCCGCCGAGTTTCACTTATTCCTCCAACTACAAAGTTTGCCCATATTGAACCACTTCCAGATTGTAAAGATCCAACTATACCATTACCTCCACAACGAGATATGGTATCTACTATGCATCGACTTGTGGTATTGCTCGCACGTCATTTATATCTTTTTATTCTTAACAGAGGTGGAGCTGTGGACCAAAAGGCTATTCGAGGTATTATTCACTTTCATTCTCATCCATTGACAGATCAACTCATTTCTAATTATATAGATATGGAACAACTTTTACGAACTGTTTATGATACTCTTCATCTTATTCTGGACCCTAACACAAAACCGTGGGATTCCACCACTTTATCTTTACTTATAACTAAATGTCTTTTACTCCGTCCTGAAGTGGCTACATATTTTCCAACCCTTCTTTGGGATTCATTCCATGCTGTTGTTGCAGCTAGTCATCAATGTGGTATGGAATACCGTCATCATCTTTTAAAGAATGTCATTATTTTTATTGAGAAACACCATGAAGGATTTAACCGTATTTACACTCAACTTCTTTCCGTATTACTAACATGGGTTGACCGAAGTGTATCTAATTTTTTGAATTCTTCTGAAATTCGTAAAGATGTGGCTGCTGGTGTAGAACTTGTTATGAGTCTTGGGGTACCTTTTATGGGAAATGCCATTCATCATATCCCCTTAGCTCCACTACAGTGCTTAATAGATATGGCAGATTCTCTTAGAGAAGGTGTGGCACTTCCAATAGTGGTTGATCTTTCAGAAGATCCAACTACAACAGCAAATGTTCCACCCGTTGAGACTTTATGTGTATTTGGAGAATTTGTAGATGGAGTACTAAAGGTTGGAAAAATTATGAGTTCATGTGCAGCGGCTTCAAGAGGAAAATTTTATTATGAAGTTACACTTCCTGATAGACTTTCTGCTCCATTTGTTGTGGGATGGGGAACGGAAGAACATACAGAAGTTCCTAGTCAACATGTTGGAAGTGATGCTTGCAGTTTTGCATTTACAGGAAATGAACTTTCTTCAAAAAGTACAAAAGAAGAATATAAACCAGGACAAGAAGTATCTCCAGGATCTGTTATTGGTTGTTTACTTAATATGAATGAAAAATTAGTAGCATGGTCAGTAAATGGTGTGTATGGACCTTTTATACCAATTCCGATTGATTATGGAGATCATGGTTTATATGCATTTACCTCAACAGGTTCTTGTAATGGTATGAGAGTTTCATTAGATGCATCTCAGTTTGAATATGTTCCTGATGGTTACTCTGATTTGTCTGGTCGTCATACACGTGTTCAAATTCCTTTGGTAAATGATATGACAAAGAGAAGTAAATTACCAATTCGTCCTATATCATTTTTTGAACAATTGGCTTCTTATATATCTGATGTGGAAGAAGCCTCATCTTCAAAGCAAAATGGAAATAATTCATCATTTTCTGCTCCTTCTTCTTCTGGAGTAGAAGTACCTGAAATGGCATTTTTGCTACGATATCCATCGGTTGCACAACTGAACTATGATGAAAGAAGAGATTATACAAAAGTTATTCGAGTTGCAGAAAGTTGTATGGCGACAGCAAGACGATTTATTGATTTGGATAGTGAAATTGTTGATGGACGATTATCAACGGCCTTTTTACTAATGAAGCATATTGTGCGTCGTTCTTTTGGTAAAAACTTACTTGTGAGTATCCCACTTGTTGAGAAGAATAATAATCCGCCTAGTATCACTGTTCGAATAACAGAATTATACTCAACTCTTCCACGTACACCTGAAGTAGCTCTTCAGCACTCTATTCTGTCACAAATATATAAACAAATTGGATCTTTTACAAATAAACAGCTTAGACAGAGTCCATTATTTAAAGTACATTTATATATATCAGGTACTGGACATGCACCGCAAGATCTTGGAGGTCCATACAGACAATTGTGGACTTTTCTTAGCGAGGAAATTATGACCCATCCTGATAAGTGTTATCCTCATACGGATTATCATCGTAATCCACTTTGTCGTTATTTAAATAATTCACAACGAGTGGCATTAGTTCCTGATAGTTCAGCAAACTCTGCGTACGATCTTGTTTTGTTAAATTTTCTTGGAAAAATTATGGGTCACGTTGCGGCAGCTAAAACTCCTCTTGCCCTTGATTTTTCACCTTTTGTGTGGAAATATTTGGTGGAGGATATACTTACTGTGAAGGATTATTACAAATATGTTGATAGCGTTGTGGAAAAGAGTATGGATGACGCCGATTTCTTAACTAGTGGAATGGCTGAGGAAATTATTCCAAACCTTACGGAGAAATTATCAACTTTACCTCATAATGAAACAAGTGAAGAAGTGATGGTGCGTAACTACCGTCAACTTGCAGAGGATTGTCTTGTGCATTCAATGGATTTACAGTTGAATGCCATTCGTGAGGGAATGTGGTGTGTTTTACCCAAACGTGTGGTTCGTTGTCTCTCCTGGCGAGAGTTGGAGCGAATGGTGTGTGGAGACTCCAATCTAACACCTGAGATCATGCGGCAGTGTATTGAGGTGCAGTTGCAGGGCCCGAGAGAACAGGCGTTCTGGCGCATTATTGATGAATTGAGCCTTGAGCAGCGTTCTTCCTTTTTGTGTTTTGCGTGCGGACAGAAACGACTTCCGCTTATACGCAAAGTTAAAGTAACCGAAAATGCAGAGAGCACAGATCACCTGCCCAGAGCACAGTCTTGCTCATCACTGGTGACTGTCCCTCCATATGATACGTATGAGCTTTTTAAAGAAAAATTGTTAATTGCCATTTCCCACGAAATGGAAATGGAATTGGCGTGAGTGACACGCCGTATATATATATATATGTATATCTGTATAACCCTTGTTTCCATTTTTATTTTCTTTTTTTTGGTTTTGGAGTAGAGATGTAATCGTAAGCGTAGTAGTTTTCTTTCTTTTTAAAATTTTTTATGCGGTATTCCTTTCGTTTTTTTTTTTTTTTTTTTTTGTTCTTTCTTTGTTAATCCATTCTCGATGTATGTGAACTCTCGTACATGTATGATTATATTTTTATTTGACTATGTATTTTTCTATTTCGTGCTAGCTAGGGTTCTTATTTTCTCTGCACTGGTCTGAATTTCGGGCTTTTGGGTTTCTTTTGTTTTATCTGGTTAAAGTTGGAGAATATACACGGCTATGGTCAGCTGTGTGTGTGTGTGTGTTTTCTCTTTTATATATCTCTATTCCTTTCCCCTTGTGGTTATTTATCTATGTATATATATATGTTTTATTGTTATTACTGTTTTTTTTTTCTTTTTCCTTATTCTATCGTATTCAACTTGTCTTAGTTTCTTTTCTGCAGAAATATAATGCGGAGGGGCCCATCCGTTACAAATACCCTTCCACTCTTCGTGGCATCATCGGGATGTGCGTCTTGGGTGGATGTTCTTTCTACATATTACAAGACATGTGAGCTACTCACTGGTATTTATCAACCCACAACGGAAGAGCTGAATAAGGGACTTGCGAGTATGGAGACATCATGGGGTGTTTCACTCTTTTACTACGATATTGTGAAGGGTATTTGTGGATGTAAGCAACCACATGCTCGTCTTGTCGGTACGGCAGTAGAGCGGTTTAAGCGTTGTGGGAATTTCTACGCGATTAAGCGGATAATGGAAGAAGATGTTGACATCACATCTAGTGAAGGTGCTCGTTCAGCGTTAACATACGCTTCATTTACAGGAATGTGGGAACATGCATTGAATATTTACAAATCTAATAAACGTATGCAAAGTAATATAGCTGATACTCGTGTTTTGGTGAATTTGCTTTCTGTGAACGGTCGATGGAATGAGGCTCTTCAGTTGATATATCGACAGTCACCACCATTACTTAATTCAATGCTTATAAAACCAATAGTTCGTGCATTAGGTTTCGCTGGAGAATATGAAAGAATGCTGCGACTTGTTGCTGCTTCATTGGCTCAAGGACACGAAATGGATGAAAGTCTTTTCTCTGCATTAGTTAAATCCTTGCAAAAAAGTGGTCAATGGAAAGCTGCTCTTGATACTGCTATGGATTTGGGTTTATTTTCATTTTCTCGGGAATTAAACCATCATCACATGTCTACATTTAACGGAATCATTGATTGTTTGTACTCTGTAGATCCATATGGTAAACTTACTTTACGTGAAATTGTAGATGATATGTCTTGTCGCATGTATCCACGAAAGATGCTCCTTAGATCATCTCAAAAATCGGAAAAATCATTTCGACTTATTCCCACAACAGAATTATTTCGTGCCTATCAACGATATTTAATTCCTCTTAGCTCTACCTATTCAAGGATTTTATCACTAAATAATGTTCATTATCGTTCTGTATCTGAAATAGCTGATGAAGCATTTAAGCGAGGAGAAACGCTTCTAATTCTTGATACCAATTTTATTCTTCAATGTACAGCGAAGAACCTCCCACTTAGTCATTTCTACGCACCTATGCGAAAACAGTATCCACACCTTGAGAAGGATGGACTTCAGCGTATTGTACTTCCTTTTACAACAATACGTGAAATTCATAAACTCATTTGGAACCCTGGATCTCAGTTAAAACGAGCAGTTCGAAGTCTTCTCTGGTCCCGAGTAATGTCATTTATCAAACAACCCTCCGTTACAGTATTAGCATTGTCTTCAGAATTCCCATGCATATCGTTTTCAATCATTTCCCGTTTGGCTTATTCTCGCCTAAATGAACCTGCAAACGAGAGTGATCCTGATCTACGTATACTAAATACATGTTTGGCTCTTCAGTATACATTTCGGCAACGAACCGCGACCTCACTTCAAGGAGGCCCTCAAATGGCTGATGGAACAGTGCTGTTTTCATTTATGAAATATCACATACGACGGCATCGACGGGATGTTAGAGGGGTTGGTTCGAATCAAATGCTTTTGTGCACTTTGGATAAGCGATTATCGGCTGCAGCTGATGAATTAGGAATTCAAACATTTCCACAATTTCATTCGTCTGTGGAAACTATTCACAAGACTAAATAATAAAAAAAAAAAAAAAAAAATGAACCAAAGTACAGTTTTTTTTTTTTCTTCTTCTTCTTTATCCTATTATTTATGGCAATTCAAAACCCCTAGAAAAAAAACAATCTCAGGAAATTGTGAATGGGTCTTTTTTTTTTTTTTCTTTTTTGTGAACCTCCTCTCCTTTTCTTCATTATAATTATTATGATTCTTTTTTTTTTTTTCATTTGCTTCATAGGTTTCCACGCGTGATGTCCACAATGGAAAAATCCTGTCGGATGTGCCATCAAAACTCAGGGGTGCTCGTTAGCCCTTGCGGATGCGAGGGGTCCATGAAATATGTTCATTCAAAGTGTCTTTCAGATTGGGTTTTCTTTCACAGATCGCTATCATGTGAAGTATGTGGGGTTACCTATAGTGTTGCTAAAGTACTTGGCTATCGCCAGCCACATGAAAGGCATGATAAGGTGATGTTACTATTATCTATTTGTATTCGACGATATACACGAAAGACTCTAGAGGTGTTTTTACCTTTTCTTTTTCGTGTATTTGCGCTTATGTCAGTTCCTTTAATTTTTGCATTTTTTTATAGTATTCAAGTCTTGTTCATTTCGAGGATATTATATTGGCATTCACTTACTCCATTATTAGAATACGTAGGTAATCTCAATCCCGGTTTTTCATTTGCAATGGGAATGGGGCTTGCACTTCTTACGTTTCCATTTTTTTTCCTATGGGAGGCATGGAGAGAGTGGTGTGCCTCTCACGAAGAGGTGTTTGGTGTACGCGTTATGAGGGAAGATGAGGCGGAGGGAATCGTTAGAGATCAGACGGTCAATGATACTTCTGGAGAAGTCGTGGAGGATCCATATCATTGGCGTGAAGATCACGTTTTGGAGCCTGCAGTGCTTCCAGAGGACATGGCAACTATATTAGAAACCATTGACTTGGCGCAGAATCGATTGAATGGTAATCGAATTTCGGAACGACTACTATCATCTCAACTATTTCGTGTTGTTATGCAATTTCTATCGTTCAGTGTATTTGTTTGGGTCCTTATTGGACTCTTTCCAGAGTTGGTACATTTGACCGTAGTGACGTTGTGGAAAATTTTGGACGGTAACTCTCATTTTTATGTTTTTGTAGAGAAAATTTTTATGACTTTTTCCACTTCTGCTAATATGGCTCAGGCGCGGTTTAATATGTTTTTATCATTTATCAATGCCTTAAGCTCATCAAGAATGGTTTTCTGGTCTCTCGCATATATCTCGAGAATGTTTACTATTACAATTTTTCTTTTACTGGCCTATCGTCTTAATCGATTGCCATATCGAAAAAAGGCTGTTTCTCTGTTAATATTTTTACGATCATTCCTTAATATCCTCATACTTTTGTTTTATACTGTTCCCACATTTTGTTTGTTGGCCAGAGTGTTCTGTGTGGATCTATTTACGAGTAATGCATCTATTGATACTGGTGATTACGATAAGGCATGGGAATTTCTTGGGTTTTCAAGTAATAGTCCGTTGGAGAATGTATATTCTGGTGAGAAGCCAGAAGTTTCATTTTTCCCTTCACCAGTAGTGATTTTTAGAGCCTTGGAGGTTCTTTCACAAAATAGAAAAGAAGAGGATGGGGTTTGTTGGAATTTTATGAATCTTCACCTTTACAGTGAAAGTAACAACAGTTTTGGACTTAATGGAGAAGCTTTGACGACAGATATGTATGGTGATGATTCTGTAATTTTTTCACTTTTCGTATCTACTGTTTTTGTATCAAATGTGGATATTTCTTCACTTGTGGAATCAAGCTATGTTGTTGCTTTTCTTACATTGATATCTATTTATCATGTAAGTTTTATTTTCGCAGCAACTCCTGCAAAGTGGATCAGATGGTCTTGTTTGTGGAATATATTTCGAGCCAACTTTTTTCAAGTTATAAGTATTCTTGATATTAAGATGTCTTTCTTCCTATACTGCGAAATATGTGCACTCTCCGTATTTGTTCTTTGTGTGTTTATTCGTTCTTCGCTTGATGTTGTCTATACCATATGTCCTACAGCTATTTTGCAGTTATTGGTGGTTAAAAACATTACAACTACGGTCGGTTGGATGAGGGTTTTTTTCCTCTCATATGCTATTCCTCAACACGCAGTTGAAGTGGCTCATAAACAAGTGATTTCTGTACTGAGTAACCTGTTTGAACTTGAAGATGTAATTCAAAATGAACCCTTTTCAATTTCGTCTCTTCTCTCAAGAGTGATTCGTGTGACGGCCTTTATTTTGTGCTATTGGACCTTTATTATTGGAATGATTACAATGTGCCTAATCCCTGGTTTGTATATGCTTTACGAACGAATTGGATTTATTCGCAGCGTACTATTTATTTTTTTTAATGTATACCAATGTATTTGTCAATTATGTCCTGATGCGCATATTCTTGTATTGGGGGTAATGAGAGATTTTCTTACAAGGACCAAATCTTCAGTTGTATTGATGAGATTTAAGTGGTGGTTTGGCTCGTCTTTTGGTTTATTGGTGAAACAAAATAAAAGTTCTGAGGAGGGAATTCTCACTTATGAGGTTAGACATATTTTTGCAATACCTTCTAATCTTCGTTCTATATATGCATCGAATATTCAAACTACTTTTTTATTATTGGAAAATGAGGAAAAACGTAGTGTTTCTTTGTCATCTCTTCAACGAACTAAAAGGGCCTTGAAGTTACTTCTTTCCAATAATGATGCTATATGCAAACTGAGTGAAGAAGATATGTCTCTTCTAATAGGTCTTATGAAACTACCGAGTCTTAAATCTGTAATACGATTCTTTCTTTTTTGTACACTTCTTTTAGTGATACTGCCTTTTATAGCTGGATCAACGGTGATATTTTGGTTACAGAGTATCGTTGTAGGTCCTCACTGTTATAGTGGTCCACAATATCTCTTTTTTTTGTGGTCATGGTCTGCTGGTACAGGTGTTACTCTCTTTCTTAGTATATTGAATTTTCAAGATGATAAGGGTATTGGTGCTCGGTGTTACTCATACTATTATTGTGGTTTACACTATTACACGACAAGAGATACCATGACCTTTGTTATTATCCCATTTTTTCTGAAATTAGCGAGCATTACTATTGTTCCCTGTGCTTTGAAAAATACTGTGGTTTTATTTTTACCAGTTTCAGATGTAGTTTTTACTGAAAACATTAGTTCACTATTTATTCTGACCCTGTTAATAATATGTGCTTGCAGAAAGTGTTCATCAGTGATGGAGGTTGTACATTATGTGTGGAGTCAATTACTTGGTATGAGGGACCGCGAACTCCCTGGGGCAGTGATCATGCAGGAGATGGTATTCGCTGAGGGAAATCCCCTGGCTCGACCCTCTACGGATGACCAGAAGGATATCCCTGTGAGTGAGGTGAGAGCAGAAGGTGGAATTGGAAATATTCTTGTAATGAAAATTAACACCATAAAACATTCTTGTGGAAATGCGATCGTAAGAGTGAAATTTCTCTTCCTTACAATGAAAGAAACCATTCTGTCGTTTCTAACAAATGTAGCTAAGAGAGAAAGTATAGTGGATGTTTTTTTTGTAGACAGAGGAGAAATACACGATGTGTCTCGCAAATCATAACTTTCCCCATTGATTGTAAGAGATTGTTGAAATTCTCTGTATATATATATATATATATATATGTGTGTCTGTGTGTGAAAAAAAAAAGATAGAGTTTTTGGGTGATTGGGGAAGAAAAGGTTTCAAAAAAAAAAAAAAAAAAAAAAAACTTTTATTCATTATTTATCCCGTTTTTCCCTCATCCTCTGCGTTGGCTAAGTTGTCTTTAGAGACTGAATTATCTTTTTTTTTTTTTTCTTTTTACGTTGGGGTTTCTTGGGGCAAGACTTTCCTCAATTCTTATTGGGGGGTGGTGGGGGAGGGGGGCACCCTTGGTTTACTGAAGAGAGAGAGAGAGTGTGTGTGTGTGTGTGTGTGCCCAAAGAATTGCCATTCGTGTGCGTCTATAACTTGGCTCTTGTGAAAATTTCAGGATTCTTTCCAAACAGTGGGATCCTCCTATTTGGCTTATGTTGAGGTCCCGTTAGCACTTTTCTGTGCCTTTTCCCTCTATCCTTTATTTTGCTGCGCTGCAAGAAAGGAATAAAGGTGGTTCACCTTTAAGAGATGATTTCTTTTATTATTATTTTTATTATTATTATTATTATTATTATTATTATTTCCCCCACTCTTCGTGTTATCATCCTGTTGGAAAAAAAATGAGTAACCACGTGTACATAACTTTCTTCACTTTTTCATGACCCCTTTTTTTTATCTTTCTTTTTCTTTTGACTACTCTTCTTTTTAGAAGTCACCAGATTTCGTTAAAAGACATGGATGACGATAACCTGCGCGATTTGATGAACCGGTTGCGGTTTGCCACAGGGAAGGGCGGTGATTTCTCTGTAGCGGAAACTGTTTCCACACATATTGATCAAAAGTCTCTTTTGGTCATCCAGCAGTCTTTGCGACGTCACCCTGCACTGGTGCTTATTGACAAGTCGCGAGATGAACTCAAGAAGTACCTCATGGATCAAATTCAGGATTCTTTGCAGAGTGAGGCTTCCACACATGATGATGTAGGTCGTTTACTAGGATGGATTAATGAAACATCAGAGTCTCTGGAGATTGAGCGGTTGTCAGCTGTTTACTGTGATCCTGAAGAAGTACTAAATGAAATAAAACAAAGAACATTGGGGGACATTGGATTTGAAAAACTTCCTAGTTTGTCGCAGTGCAATATAGGTAACCTTTCACCATGGAATCTTTTGTTAACACTCGTAAATGGTCCTTTACTTACTTTGAATACCACACAATACCGTAGAGTGGAGGTGCATTTGCCAAATCCAACACCATCAATGGTTGGTGATCTTATTAAAATAAACGGAAATATCTATACTACTACATCGTGGATTTCTTTACTAAATAGTCTTGGAGATTTTCCAATTAAAGTTGTTAGACATGTTTGGCTTGCCGCTCTTTTTTTCTTTCCAACAAGTGGCCCAATGGTTGTGGCCTATTTACACAAGGAAATTGATGAGCTTTCAAGGCGACGAAACCTTGCTGATGAAAAAGATGAGGATGATGCAAAGGAAACATATCAGGCATACTGTCGAGTACTAAATTGTTTTTTTCGACATTTACCACTTTGCTTTAGTGTTGACCTTTTTCGTTTATTTCTAACCTTTTTGGACAATTATATTAAGCCTGATGATACGACACTAGATAATATATACAAAACAGCTCTTCAACGATTTATTGGTCATTCTCCTTCAAGTACAGATGTATGGAAAACATATATAAGATGGAAGAGTGATCGAATTCATGATACACATCAAAGACGTGAATGGGTTAGAAAAATGTATATTCGCGTGCTTAGGACACCCTTAAATGGTCTCCAAGAAGTTAAAGAAGATTATGATTTTTTCTTAAAGGCTGAATATCGAGGTAGACCTCCCCCTGAGGGTCGTCTTGAAGAGCGTTTTCTTCGTGCGAAAGGTGCTGCAGTGGAACTTAACCGTTTTATGGGAGCCGGTAGAAGTAATTCATTTGGCAATATACAAAGTGGTGATATGTTGCCCAGATCTTTGTATCTTCCTCGTCCGGTAAAATTAAGTGGTAATGCTTCTACTGCTATATGGGGTGACAAGGAAGAAGCTATGCGGCGATTAGAAGTTGAACTTTGGTCTCAATGGACTTCTTTAATTGATCGAGAGACATCTTCTTCTGCTTATATTGGTATGGAGTTATTTGGATATGAACGAATGAGGTTTTTTCTTGCAATGCGATGCAGCTTTTTCCCTCACCAAACGTTCTCTTGGATTAGCTATGCCGATTACTGTCTTGGACAGCAACCACTTCTTTCGGAGGTAGAACGTCAAGTTATGGCAAAAGAATTCCTTGAAAAGGCTTGTTTTCTGTTAATGGAAAATTTTTATTTACATGTTATTTACTGTGATTTTATGCTACGGGAACTCGGAGATCCAGAGTTGGCACATCGATCCATAAAACAGTTAATAATTCAACAACGGCAACTTGCTATTGACTACATTAAAAAGGAGCCTCTAGTGACTCTTGAAAAAGCGGTTACCGCACTTGAGAATATCACTTTACTTTCTATAAACTGGATGCGCTGGGGTAGCCTTAGTGGGGAAATTACAAATACTCAGTTTATTCGTCTTGTAGCTCGTTTCACAATGCATCGCGCAGATTTTCTTTCATTAATAATGGGTGTCATCCGGCGTTCTTCTCAAGAAGAAAAGAAATTCACACCAAGTCGATGTCAGCAAGCTTTTAATACCTTTTGTCATTTTTGGATAAGACTTGAACTTGTTCGAAATCAAGCTTATGAGGAGGTGATTGTTATACTTCAACGATGGAAAGATCATCTAAAGATGTTTTTGAGTTCTGCTAAAAATAAAGGATGGAGTTTGGTCGATTGCGGTCTTGACGATTACTTTTTTTCCAGTTGTACTGATGTTTGCCATAGTTATCCTTCAGCAGTGCAACAAGTCTTGGAAATTTTGAACGATTTGAGAAACACTGTTGTTTCATCGGAATCATTTACTCTAAATGAGGTGGAGTCGGTAGTGTCAAACTCAAGAAGACTGCGTGATGTGTTTTTTGTGGTGGACACCGATGCCTCCACACCCATTTCTTCTAACTTGCCACTTTCTTTAACTAGTGTACGACTAAGTGGTGCAACTGTTCCATTGCAGACGTATGATCATCATTTTTTCTCAAAAGAAACTGCGTGGCACGAAGAAAATAATTATTTGTCACAGATTGAAGAAATAAGTGATGGAATTTATTTGCGTAATACTCCTTCTCAATTTCCCGTGGAAGTAATTCCGGATGATGCACGCTGGGCATCTCAAATACCGTTGAAAACCTCTAACGCCTCTGGATCTAACCAAAGTGGTCCCAGGACTCACTCGGACCATGAGGTTAAACCGAGAAAAAATAAACGTCCTCCCAATAGACGGGCATTAGTTACAGAGAGTGTGGTTCTCAAGGATCTGCGTTCCGCTATTCAAACTCCCGGAGTTACATCAGGGACTAATGCAGCCCTAGGAAAACTACAAGAACTACTAACTATGCACCTACCCTCCACCTATGAGACTGACACTTTATTCAACGAGAATACAGTTGACGTGAATTGGCTCTTGGGATTTCTTGAACAAACACCTGCTATATGTTAATGAGGTTAAGATATGGTTCGATAGTAAAGGGGAATGAAAAAAAAAACAAAAAAAAACACGTACTTGTAATGAGAGTGAATCCTTCCACTTCCATTACCCCTTATATATTCTGTGTATACATATATAAATTGTATTCATTCTGTCCTTGCTCTTATTTCGTTCTAATGTTTTCTAGAGAGACATCTCTTTCCTTTTTTTTTCTCTCCTTTTTTTCTATCAATACTGTTTTTTTTTTCTTTTTTTAGGACGTTTTCTTGTCTTTTGGTTACTTTGTACCAAATAACGTGATGCGTCGGCAACTGCCATTGAGGTGCACAAAGATAGAGTTTATCTCACCGAAACCGGAGGCACCGATTTCCAGTACGGAATTGCAGGCGATATCCCCAACCTTGCTCTACCGCAGGCTTCTCAAACTGTATCTTCGTAAGTTTGATACAGATCATAAAACCATTATCGCCGCGTGGAAGCAAACAAAGTTTGAGTTCTGGTATCATCGAAATGATTCACCGAAAGAGGCGGAAATGCAAAATATTCGTGGTCAACAGATTTATGAGGCTATTCGCGCCGGTCTAATACCTGTGTACCATGATAGTAAATCAAATAAAACTTATTTTAAATATGATGCCGATACATTGAAGGCAGCTCATAATCATATTGACCCTGTGGATGCCGAAGAGTTTATTCGCCGATATCACGATAAGATTCCTTCGGAAGATGTTGTGGAAATGAAGACTATGCTTAAAAAACTTGGTCGTTGGAAAGGACCGGATGCACTTCGTGATGAGGACTTACACCGTATAAAACGTAAAGTGGTAAGAAAGCAAAAGTGTACGGATCCGGACGAATAATGACAACTGCACAGTAAGTGTAGGTGCCGTAGCAGATATAATATGTATATATATATTTTTAATATTCCTTTCTATAGAAAGTTTTTACTTGTTAAATAACTAATCTTTATTATTTATTGTTTTTTTTTCTTTCTCTTTCTCTCTCTTCTTTTCTTGTATGGAGATCAATTTTTATTCCTCAAAGGTTTACAATAGGGATGAGTTCTTCATTTGATCAAGGGAACCTGGGAGATCATGACTGGCTTATTACTCGTACTGGTCTACCTTCTATTGAGAGTGTCGTGGATGACGCAGAACCTATAACTGAATTTGTTTGTCCACCTTTTATCCCTCCTCGTCGTTCTTCAAGACGATATTCTATGATGATGAACGCTTTATGCATGGGTGGGGTAATGAATGAGTGGGAGAAGAGAGTCATTTTCTCTAGATTAAAACCAGTTCCACCAGTAGTTGAAGAAGAGTTTCAACGACGCCTCTGTACCATTCATGAACGTAATACGGCGGATTATATACATGAGGTTCAACTTCGGGCAGCAACACAAGCAGCTGTTGCACAAGAAGAACGTCGTCTTGGATATGAAGAAGAGAATGTAAAAAGGGAGGCTGTCTTTGCACGACACAAGAATTTAACCAATATTTTGCATGAGGAGATCAAAATATGTAGGGCAAGACGCTGGTACACTATTGTACTATCCCACGTGTTTCTTACTGCTCTTATGAAAGAGAGGAGAGTTCATGAGGCTCTTGATAAGATTTCTTGGATATTGGTACCAGTTATTAAACGTCGTTCCGAGGTAAAAAGAAGGCATGAGGAGGCGGAAAAGTTAACAAGAAGTAATTTGGATAACATACCATTTCCAACTCCAAATATTATTCTCAGTATGTACGGAACATTCTTTCAGGGATGGCCTCCGCGTCTTTTGGAAATGTTAGCTAGAAAAGCACGTCCTATTTATCTTAAAGCTGGCAATTTCCTAATGCATGAGGGAGACCTTGATCGTTGTATGTACATGATAACTACAGGATCTGTAAGTGTTATTATTAACGATCGCAAAAAAGGTAAAAAAAGGACAAAAGAATGCAGTAAAGCTTCCTTTGCACTCACACCTCCATGCTATGTTGGCGAATTTGCTTTAGTATGTAAAGAGCCAAGAAGTGCATCTATTCAATGTGAAACGGATGTTGGTGCGTGGATTGTTTCACCTGAAGACTATGAGGAAGTTGCGCAACACTTGAGTCCAGAAGTGGCTAGTAAGCAAAGAGAAGCCACAGATGTTAGGCGTCGAGCAAATTTACAAAAATTTTTCCCTTTACGTGTGGAATTTCTTCGTCATTTTCCTTATTTTGAAAAATTTAGCACAGAAGCTTTAAAACAGATAATTGCAGCAGTAGAACCCATTGTACTTCATGATGGAGATCCTTTGTTTTCAAGGTCAGATATGGATTCTTCTGCCTATTTCATTCAAGATGGAGTTGCTATACTTATTGATGAAGATGGTGAACGACGTTCAGTTCCACGAGGTAGTTGTGTAGGTATTTTTGAATGTGCTTGTAGTGTTAATGAAAGGAAAAGATGTACGATAATTAGTAAAAACTATTGTGATATTTGGAGAATGCGTCGTGAAGTTCTTATAGATGTTGGAATGAGTGAACCAGCAGCATTATTATACTGCCGTAGTGCCGCCAAATCCCATCGTGCGAAGGAAGTAGTTAAACCTGCAAATCCACCCATTTCTGTAAGAAAAGATCCATATATTTTATTTACTCTCACACGACAGTTAATGAATCGTTTATGGGAATCTAGTGTTCCTGTTATTTATCTTAATGATGAAAAACTTGTAGTTCAAGGGCAACCATTTCATCAGTTTATTATTTTACACTCTGGAGCATTTGAAACGACAATTCTTTGTGGTAATGGAGAGCACAAAGTGGTAAGAATTAATGTTAATAATGATGGTTATGTGATGGAAGTTCTTTCCTCTTCAAGTAACAACGACCGTAGTAAGGGATCAACTGTAAATTCCAAGATGTTTTTCAGTTTAATTTTGGGAGCCTACGAATATGCTTCTGGTATGTCGCAATATTCTTCTACAGTAACTAGTTACGGTCTTTCTGAGGCCTTTGTGGTTGATGTTGCACTTTTTGATGCTATTGTGCCTGCTGAACTGAAGGAGATTATACAGGAAGAAGGTGAAGCACGTGAACTCGTGCGTCGTTGTCACAAGGAACGTGATGCAAGTATACTATTGTCTAACATGCAGGAGGGATTTGCGTCTAACTATCGCAAGGGCAAAGAAATTCCCACAAAGAATGAGAACAATTGGACCTGAATGCTCTAGGTGTAAATGATATGTATATAAATATGTATAATTCATAATAATAATAATAATAATAATAATAATAAAATGCATCTCTTCCCCCACCCTCAGGAAAAAAAAAGATAACATATATACATATATACATACATATACGTGTCTTTCTATGTGTTTCTTTCAGTGGTTTGATGTGAAAGAACCACCACACTCTCTGTATAAAAAAGAGAGATTGTGTATACTAAAACTGTATTATATAGTGATCCACCGATCATAACTATAAGGAGAATCTTTTGGCCACACACATAGAGAGAGAGAGAGAGACGTTCCTTTTTTAACTATGATAGAGTATGTTGCAGTGTGTACTTCATTGTGGTGTACGTATCTTTCTACTATGGTTACAATTACTCATGTCCAGTAAATACATATCTAATCATGGTTTAAACCACACTGGTTTATTTTCTGCACATGAGAGAATGTGGAAAAATACAATCATGTTATAAAATGTAACGACACAATGAACGGACTTGTAATGAGATCCACTAATAATTTGTAGCTGCATATGTGTGTTTATTTTGTGAACTGTACAATGTGTTGGTCTATTGATTTGAGACTCCTGTACTGCATTCATCAGGTGGGGGTACGATAAGCGCCAATGGAGGATTCTTTTTTATTTTTATTTTTATTTTCTTCATAGTTGCTATTAAGGTGTGAGGGAGTGAAAGTTTTTTTTTTTCTTGCTATTACTGGTTCCTTTCATCTGTATTTACAGTGTAGTTTACTTCTTGTGTGCTTTCTTTTCCTATTTTCCTTTCTCCGCGGAATAGCTGCAAGCAAGCCAAGCAGCACGATGAAGGTGATGAACACAGAAGGAGTACAATCAATAGAGCTGCAGTCCTGTGAAGTGCAAGACGAGTGCTATGTGCGTAACGACACACACAACGTGATGCCCTCCGAGCATTATGGGGAATCTGGAGCACTGCATCGATGGAAGAAGGAGAAGAATACAACGACATCACTGTTCCATCAAAGACTCTCGTTGCAACAGGTGCTGCGTGTCCTTGTGGTGTTATGGCTACTACTGCCCATACCAAACCCATTTCTCTGCTATGCCACAGTTACTATTACACATCGTATTTTGGAAACCATTACCGATTGCTTTCCTAATATTGTGGTCTCCCCCAGTCAAACAACACAATACTGCGATGTGTACAATATCGATACTCGGAACCCCCCCTTGTTTGTGAAGCTTGGGTATTACCACAATGGTGGACTCAATCCTGGATGGACAGCTTATTTTCTGAGGGGAACAAATCTCATTAGATTTGTGCCCAACAGTGAAGCTGCTTCAGGGGATATGGGTCTTGTCATTCTGGACAATACTCCGGGAAAGCGTTCTGATGTACTTTCGGAAATATTCCCCTTAAAGTTTATGAATATCAAAGAAACAAAGGCATGGTTTTCTTCTACCAGTGCCTATTATGGGTTGAAGACAATGATGCAGACAAATTTCCCAAATTCCAGTGATATTCAGAACTACCTGCTGGTTCCTCCTCTGTCAGACTGTTATACCATCGCAAAAAAATGTACTGTTGCTACTGGATGTCACAAATTGACGACTTCTGCATCCTTTCCTATTCCTGGGAACTATTCAGTATGCTTAACCGCGAGTGGATGGCGAGACCACTACTTGCCGTGGGGTGCAATTCCCCTCGAAGTGAGAGTGCTGGTGCCAAACGAGCTGTATATGAACACTCGCGGGAAAAACACACTGTTGCTCCAGGACGCAGTGACGGGTGCAAATGTGGCTGATATGAACAGTGTGTTCCTGGTGAAGTGCCCATACAGTGGGTGTCCACGCGTGACGCCAAACAGCGGTGTGCAGGCAGTGAGTGTTGATGTGTGTACTGGGTCCGCTGTCACGAATCGTGTGTACTTCTCTGCTGATGGTACTCTCAATTCTACAACAGCAGGTGACTACGCTGCCTGCGCGGATTATGGGGCAGAGGTAGGTATTTCTCCCGCTGCACTTCCGGTAAGAGTATTGCAGGATCCCTTTGTTTTCAATGTCACTGTGATTACAAACACGTTGGTGACGATTGATGTGCGTGGGGGTGATCTCTCATGGAGGAAAGAGTCATATGAAGTGTGTGCGGTGCTGCCGGATACACCGTGTGAGTCTGTGGCTACTGCTCAAGATTCCGTGTGTGTGAGTAGTCGCTTCCCAAATTCCCCATCTGTTGATGTTGACATCTTGAGTCTGTACAGTAAGTATAAACTGGGTGCTGACAATGTGACCTTTTGCTTTGTTGCATATAATGTGACATTTAACGGCCGCCTTTTTTTTCGGTCACGTGATGTGAGGGAACCTTTTTTGCCGGAGAGTGACTCAGCAGCTTCTGTGCCGGGGGGTGATTCAGCAGTGGCGCCAAGTTCGAATAAATTATCTGTTGCTGCCATTGTTGGTATTGTTATTGCAGGTGTGGTTGTTCTTGTTATTGTGGCTGTCATTCTGTTTTTTGTACTGCTGCGTCGGCGACAACAACAAGAACAACGAAGAGAAAAGGTGCAGATGGATACTGTGGAGTCTCAATCCACAAGTAAAACAGTTGCCAAGAAGAACACTCGGAACCCTCTGAAATCTGCTACAACGACTGGATCTTCGACATATTCTGCTGTATCTAGAAATACAGTTAGTTCTGTACGAAGTGATAACGCCTGGAACAGTGATGATTCTGTTAGCAGCGTACTGTCTTGGGGTGACGCTGGACGCAGCGAAGGACATATGCGGGATTCACCCGTGCCTTTTTACGACATATGGTCATGGTATATTTCTCCCACCGTTACAGAAGTTAATGATGATTAGGGAACTTGAGAAGAAAACTTTCGAGCAGCAACAGAGGAAATATCAGTAGAGAATGAATCACCTGTCGTTTGCCGAGAGGAGAAGATTATTCACTGAGAGTCTTGAATCATGTATGGGGCATTCTCCGACCGCTTCCGCTAACCTAGGACCCTCTTGAAGAACAAGCCAAGTTTAATCGTTTCCCACAAAGGAGGAAACGGATTTGTTTCCTAGGAAGGCACCAAAGAAGAATTATTCGCCATTGTGTGTGTGAGAGTGGTATGATGGACATGAGTGGGGTTCTCTGCAAAAATAGGAAAAAAAAAACACATTCATCAATGAGAGAGTTGGGTTCTGCATTCCTGTGGGTTGATATTACTATGTATTACGGCATCTAGGAATTAGGGAGCTGAGTGCAGTATTTTTTTTTGGGGGAGACCTTTGCTATTGATTGAGTCAAAACAAGGGATATGTATGTGGATTACAAGCACAGGTAATGGTGAGAGTCATGTTAGAATGAGAATCTACATTAAAACGAATCCTTTCGCTACTGCTTGTTGTAAATGATGATATGGAGATAACATTGATAACAGCTGTGAGGAGGATTGTAACTGCAAAACAAATGTGGGGAGAGGCAGGGAACAGTGATGAATGGAATAAAGAATAACGGACTTCACTGGAGTCATTAGTGTGGAGAAAAAAAAAAAACAATATCACACGCTAAATGTAAAACAATTATGACAATAAAGAATAATCGTGAGAACAGTTTTTCAACACAAGAAAAAGAATGCTAATATTGCATGGACAAACAATGGCATTTTGTTTTGCATCGTGTTTGAGTTGTTTGTATTATTTATTATGAGCTACAGGGATTGCACTATCTGCAGAAACGTGATTATTTGATGTTGATATCTTTGTAAATTGTGTTGACATCTTCTGTTGTAATTACGCTTGCAGAATAGTCACTACTATCGTTAATAATTTACGAACTCTGCAATGGTGTAAATACCACCACAAAGGAGTGGGCTCATATGAAGATCAAAAAGTGTGTGTAGGAGGTCTGTATGCATCAAAAACCAAAACACTCTTCAGTGAAAGAGAACTCTGTGAGATGAGAGTAAACCAAACATTGTATAAATAAAAAGATAAAAAAAACAATAAATAGATAGAAACGTTTTTTTGTCGTATGTTTTTTCCCTTTCTCTGTACCTTTACTTTGATTGCCATGGAGTAGTTGACACTCCACACACAATCATATTGTTCTTTGTATTCCAATAAAATGAAAAGGAAAAAATAAAAATTAAAATATTCCACTGAAGTACCACCTGAATGACAGAAAAGAGGAAAGAAAAACAAGACACAAATGGTTGAGAGATGAAACTAATAATAAAGTAAAAAATGACAATGAGTAATATATTTTATTTTAAATTCCTGTTGTATGGTGTAAACATCGGTATCGCAGTAGTGTCAAGCACTGAGAATGATGGTAACGTGGGAACATGTGAATACACCAAACAACATGACGTATTATATTTTTTTGTAGATGTGCAATAGTGAACTTGGTATGAGTTCCTTTTTTTTTCTTTTTATTTGGGGATTGAGAAACCGTTAACATGGTATTCTTTTATATGTTTTTATTATTATATTTTCGTTTTATTTTTCAATCATCGTTACCCAACACCACCTTTCATTTTTCCTCGCCTTGAAGAAAAATGAGGAACCTTTTTTCACACCTGTTTGTGAGTTCAATTGGGTGTGAATCAAAGAGATGGTGACAGTAAAATTAGGGAAGTATATTCCTTATTGTGTTTACCTTATTTGGTTCTCTCTATATATGTGTTCATTTTTATTTTTCCACTCTATTATGTTTTATTTATGTTTTTTGGTTCCTGAATATGCTGAGGGGGTAATTCTGTAGGATTCTTTTCCATGGTTAACGTCAACCCATTTGCTGTGCTCAGCTCAGAGTGTGAAAGAGGGAAAGGGAGAGCATCAGAGTGAGTGTAAAGAAAACAAAAGGTGTGTAATGTGTATGTGTCTCTCTTTCTCCATAATTTCCTTATTATTTTAGGCAGATAATAGTAAAGTGAACAGGAATAAGACATGGTAATGGTGCAGCAGTGTGTGTGCTCCTTTGTGAGTTCATTTGTAGTTGAATAGACAGAACTGCCTGTAAAGGGGAGTATGGTCTGTTTTGTTGTCAACAATGGGAGTGTTTGATGATGTATAAGTGAATGCACTGGAGTGGATCAAAAGATTGATATTGAATATGGGAGATGTGATTTGGGTCACCTCTTGTGCGTCAGTAAATATATGTGTTAGTGTGTTTATTATGTCACTCTGAATGGATTGTGTTTCCATTGATGTTTGCAATTGGGTCCTCTGTCTGCGGCATTGTTTCTGGTTTGCTATGGAAATGGTGAGGCTGAGTTGTGTTCATTCTAATGGGAGTATACACCGCCGTGGAGGGCAATATTGGTAACTGGGGAATCACAATCAAACGACAGCAGAACAAGAAATACACTGGACATCCCAATGGGGTGTGGAACAATAATAATGATGAAATGGGACAGTTATTTAAAGAAGAGGAAATAGAAGTATAGTGGATTGGATAATAACTTTCCATATACATATACATATTTATTTATTCTGATGTATTTGCATGTGAGAGTCTTTGATGCAACTGTAGTTGATACTCTGCTTCCCTCTCCCACATACACATATATATACGCACACACATTATCTCCTCATTGGGATGCTGAATTTCTCAGTTGTGTGTGTGACACTTTGTTTCATTCACCTGACAGATGTTGTGCATATGTACAGCCATAAATTCATTTCGTACACTATTGCTCATCTGATTGGGGTTTGCAAGGACATTTTTTTTTCTCTTTCTGACGTCTGTGGCATTCTTGCAGATTGTGGTTCCAGATCGGCTGGTAATCAGTGAGGGTTTGTTTAAATGTTTTTCAAACCAGTTACTGCACTCTCTCGTTTGTTTTGTATCTCTACTCTTTTTTCCATTCATTGTGATTTGTTGTTGCAGAAGTGACTCTGCAATCAACAGAAAATCAAAAAATACAGTGAGAGAAAAATGAGTAGAAGTAAAAGAGAGAATGGAGTTTCGTTTGATTAGTGAGGAGAGTGACGTCACTGTTAAACAACATACACATGATGAGGTGATGCCNGTTTAACTGAAGAAGGTACTTATAATCCTGCTATTCTTGAGTGGGAAAATGATAAGTTAGTGATGATTGCTCAGCATGACAGCGGTTATTACAGAGTGTACGAGTCCACCGATTTAGGGGATACATGGAAAGAGTCTACCAGTACACTCTCTCGTGTGTGGGTCAACTCCCTTATACAACCTGGCCGTGGAACTCAAAACAACTTTATTACGGCAACAATTGATAATAAGAGTGTCATTCTTTTTACACAGTCTCTGGTATATGGGGCACAGAACGTGTTCTATCTGTGGCTCACTGATAACACACACATTTATTATGTTGGCTTCATAGCTACAGATTATAATGCGACAACCAGCACACTATTGCTCAAGGATGGTAAACTGTCCTTTCGGTATGAGACTGGTCAAGAGGAAGGTTACGGGGTTCTTTTTGTGGATCTGACGACAGCGATGGAGAGCATCAAAGGTGCAGTAAAAAAAATGGACTGAACAAGACCAGACTCTCACTGAGAGTCGTTGCTGCACTGATGAAACATGTATTTCATCTGGTCAATGTGAGGACCCTGTTCTCACTACTGGACTGGTGGGCTATTTGTCTGGAAACATCGATGAGGAAAGAAAATGGAGGGATGAATACCTCTGTGTGAATGCCTTTGTAAGTGGTACAACAATGAAAGTTTCTAATGGATTGACGTTCAAGGGTCTTGGTGCAGGGGCAATATGGCCTGTGAGTATAAATGGACCAGCGAGGC